AAGTCTGATAAGAAAAAGAAACGCAGGAGGAAGGAAAGCTACGCAATTTACATCTACAAAGTGCTGAAGCAGGTACATCCAGATACCGGTATTTCCAGCAAAGCGATGAGCATCATGAACAGCTTCGTCAACGATATTTTCGAACGTATCGCAGCGGAAGCATCCCGATTGGCACATTACAACAAACGTGCCACGATAACTAGCAGAGAAATTCAAACAGCCGTTCGACTATTGCTACCAGGAGAATTGGCCAAGCACGCCGTCAGCGAAGGTACCAAAGCCGTAACCAAGTACACCAGTTCGAAGTAATATGTAACTACGACGACAACAACAACATCAACAACAACTTACAACATAAAAACGGTTCTTTTCAGAACCACTAAAGTTATCAAGTAAAGATAATGATATCACCGTACGCGCAACATATATTATTGGTACTTGAATACCAGATGATTATTCGTGATATACATACACCACTAAAGCAATAACGTCTGATATAAGACCCGACCGGATTATTTAATGGTAAACGAAAGCGTAAAAAAAGGGGATATCCTTACGACGCAATCGACTGTTTAACGTTCATTCGTTTAATTAAACACAATACATACTTATTTATACCCTTAAAAGCAAATATCGATGGTGACGACGCCTAACATTACCACTTGCTTATAAATACCTAATCGTAAACGAATAATACTCGAATTTAATAAAAAAAAAAAAAAAAAAAAACATCAACGCACGTACGAGCCGCAGTTGTACATGTATATTTCGATACAAAATTGCTAATTCGTAAATATTCTGTATCCTTTTTATAGTAATAGTGGTGGCCCTGAAAAGGGCCATTTTCAATCCGCGGGGACGTATAGCATCCTCTCGCATAAATATAACGTCTCGAACCGACGTAGCCGTAATCTACGACGTTGCAACACGTCTAAATTTTTTTTTTTATTTCTTCTTTTTGGGTGAAGCGGCCTTCCTTTTTGGCGATGTTGCAGCCTTCGCCGTTTTCGGTTTTGGTGCTTTTGGCTTCTTGGTCGGAGCTCCCTTGCTGGATTTCTTCGCCTTCGAAGGAGATTTTTTTGCAGCCGCTGCAGAAGGTGCAGCAGAAGAAGCTTTAGCCGACGTCGCCGATTTCCCACTTTTCTTTGTCTTAGCTGGAGAAGCTTTCTTCTCGGCCGCACCACCGGCCACCGCCGGTTTCTTAGCCTTCGGAGATGCCTTCTTCGCAGATTTCGCACCGCTAGCTCTCTTAGCTACGGTTCCGCTCTTCTTTGAGCCGGTCGCGGATTTCTTCTTCTTTTCGCCAACCTTTGCGGCTGACGATGATGAAGTTTTCGACGCTCCGCCAGCCGATGACGAAGCTAGCTTGAACGATCCGGAAGCTCCTTTGCCTTTCGTCTGTACTAAAGCTCCAGACGCGACGGACGATTTTAAGTACCTCTTGATGAAAGGCGCAACTTTCTCAGCGTCTACTTTGTAATTAGCGGCTATGTATTTCTTGATAGCTTGCAGAGACGACCCGCCACGCTCTTTTAATCCTTTAATTGCGTTGATGACCATTTCGCTATAGAGGATGAGACGGCTTCGCCCTCGGATTCTTCGGTTTTTTCTCCTTTTTCGCAGACGACTGCGACGTCGGCGACGCAGAATTCGCGGTAGCCGTAGCCGACGCGGCGTAATTCTGGTTTTCCGTATCTGCCATGTTTACGAGTCGTGAAGAGGAGACAGATTATTGTATACGCGCGATCTTTTGCAATCACTGATCGACGATCTCGCTAAGAGAACGAATGTCGAATGAATGTGAGAGGTAAATTCAGCGTCGTGACCCAAGTCATTTCGGTCGGACCGAACATTGAACGCTCCGACTTTGCAGCGAAACCGATTTCGACGGCTTCAATTCTGCCAAGCCTGCGGTCGTATCTGTTGGTTTTTTGAGTCGCTGATATAATTGCATACGAGCAACAGCTAAAACCTGAACGAATATGAAATCTGCATATTTTGAAAATACACATTTAACTTCGCGACTTGATATCACGTACGCTACGTACAACGATAAAATTATAGGTGAACGTGCAAGGTATCCGCTTTGGACCTAATCGTCCGGCTTTTTGATCGAATTTATATTATACGATACGTTATATAATTAGATATTTCATGAAATTAACAATCTACGACTATTCGTAATACAATTATACTGGCGGTATACGGCTAATGGATAAGGTATTTTAGATAAATCGCAATTATACGGAGGTATGTCTGGCGTACATCCGAACGTGCACATCGCGAAATATATCGCGATAATTTTAAACATTACTCCTGTAATATACAAATAGATACTAATATGCGACATCAATCTATTATTCGTAATAAATAAGCCAGAGTAGAAAATATTATATATAATATACGAGCGATCGAGTTATAATTCATCTCTTACTACATATTAATTATTAGACGTACGCATTACTGACTTTTGATCTACGTGAAAGTACCTAATGTTACGTATTACCACCTAACAGCCTGCCTAAACGCCTAAGCAATATATACGGCAAATATCTATATTATGTCGAATTATCTACACTTATACTCACATGCTACTTATAGTTATTTTACTTCCATACACATACATACAATTCGTACGTTATTAGAATAATATCAATGTAACGGTTTACTACAAAGCACCACAATCCTTCGATATAGGATAACGGGGTAATAACTAGCGACTATCGTATAACCATTTAGCGCTATTTTGCATACACGATAATAGTGTCGAAATTGCACGCGTACAAACACAATCTGATATACTATAACATAAACACGATCCCCTTTTTCTGAACATACTATATGATGGTTCTGAAAAGAACCGTTTTTTTTTTTATAACCTATTATCGCACGCCGTACTCTCTCTCTCTCTCTCTCTTTCCGGCAAATAGTAAATCCGTCAATTCCATTAGGCACGTTCGCCCTAATACGTCTTGCCAGCTGTATATCTTTCGGCATGATCGTTACTCGCTTAGCGTGGATCGCGCACAAGTTCGTATCCTCGAATAGTCCGACCAGGTACGCTTCGCTAGCTTCTTGGAGTGCCATTACAGCAGAACTTTGGAATCGCAAATCGGTCTTGAAATCTTGCGCTATTTCACGGACCAGCCGTTGGAAAGGCAAATTTTCTGATCAACAATTCGGTACTTTTCTGATAACGACGAATTTCTCTGAGAGCCACAGTTCCGGACGATAACGGTGAGGTTTCTTAACTCCGCCAGTAGCAGGAGCACTTTTACGGGCAGCCTTCGTGGCTAATTGCTTCCTGGAGCTTTACCTCCGGTGGATTTACGAGCCGTCTGCTTGGTACGCGCCATTACGTTAAATTTCAGATAACTGAATATAAATTATCTATATAGCAGCGACGTGAATATTGCAACGGACAATATTATAGTGAGCGGAGGTAACACCGCGAACAGTTATATTTATATGGGCTCGAAATACGAAACAGTCTGATTGGCCAATTGATAGACCAATAGGAGGGACGACAACGCTAACAAAACCGGGCGTCACGAGAGACGTACCGTCAGTTGGCAACAGCCCGTTCGCTTTAACAGTTCGACGTGCGAGAGAATCTTGAAAAATGACTGGACGCGGTAAAGGTGGTAAAGGATTGGGAAAAGGAGGAGCGAAAAGGCATCGTAAAGTTTTGAGGGATAACATCCAGGGAATTACGAAACCGGCCATAAGAAGATTGGCGCGACGTGGAGGAGTAAAACGTATATCCGGATTGATTTACGAAGAAACTCGAGGAGTGCTCAAAGTCTTTTTAGAGAACGTAATCAGGGATGCAGTCACTTACACCGAGCACGCTAAAAGGAAGACAGTCACTGCAATGGACGTCGTATATGCATTAAAGAGACAAGGACGCACTTTGTACGGATTCGGTGGTTAAACACTCCGCAGCAATTACCACGGTAACAGGTTGAACGAAAATACAATACAAAGAAAAAAAAACGGTTCTTTTCAGAACCACCATATACTCTCGTGAGAAAGAATGGATCTGCCGATTGAACCGCCACATTAATTTTCTATTTTTTTTATACAAAATAAAAGAAACACTCACATAAATGAGTTTATCGGAATATGAGAAATTGATCGACTTATACGTTTTGGCTCTTTGAATTACAATAATCGACGATTTCGGTCCCGATATGTCCCATTATCGAGATACCGGCGAATATTAGACGTGAATGCGACGATGAGATGCCTCGATTAAATAATTTAGTTATTGCCAACTTCTCGCGCCACAACCGATCCGATATCACCCTGAGAAAATTTTTCCATATACAAATGATAATCCCTTCATTTTCTTATTAAATTACTTGTTGGCCCTGAGAAGGGCCGATTGTATGTCAGAAGATTTTTTTTTTTAGGCTTTCTTCTCCGTCTTTTTCGGCAAAAGAACAGCTTGGATATTAGGGAGAACTCCTCCTTGGGCAATTGTGACGCCTGAAAGCAATTTGTTCAATTCTTCGTCGTTTCTGATGGCCAATTGCAGATGACGTGGAATAATACGGGTCTTTTTATTGTCGCGAGCAGCGTGCCTGCCAATTCCAAAACTTCAGCGGCCAAGTATTCCATAACGGCCGCTAGATATACGGGAGCTCCGGCACCGACGCGTTCAGCATAATTCCCTTTTCGCAATAACCTGTGGATACGACCGACGGGAAATTGTAGGCCGGCCCTGCTGGATCGGGACTTTGCCTTTCCCTTAACTTTACCGCCTTTTCCGCGTCCTGACATATTCAATTTGTTAATCTGCTAAACGAACGACGTCGACTATGAACTTGCAAATGCACAACATGATCTCCGCGAACGTTGTATTTATATGAACTAACCGACCAATCGACGCGAACGTTTGCCGGCAAACGCCTGGGGGCGGAGTCTACGGTCGTAACGTCACCTGTCTTAAATACGGCCAGAGAATTGCAGTCGTTCCGTTAGTCGAGCGTTGGTGTCGATTATACTCAGCATCATCTCACAATAAAATGCCACCCAAAACTAGCGGTAAGGCTGCCAAAAAAGCGGGCAAGGCGCAGAAGAATATCTCAAAATCTGACAAGAAAAAGAAGCGCAGGAGGAAGGAAAGTTACGCAATTTACATCTACAAAGTACTGAAGCAGGTACATCCCGATACGGTATATCCAGCAAAGCGATGAGCATCATGAACAGCTTCGTCAACGATATTTTCGAACGTATCGCTGCGGAGCTTCCAGATTGCACATACAACAAAACGTGCCACGATAACTAGCAGAGAAATTCAGACAGCCGTACGACTATTGCTACCGGGAGAATTGGCCAAGCACGCAGTCAGCGAAGGTAACAAAGCCGTCACCAAGTACACCAAGTTCAAAATAATATAGGGACGTGGTATTCGCTTCGACGGTTATACGGTTCGAAAAATAAGAACAAAAAAAAAACGGTTCTTTCAGAACCACTATGTTATGATAAAATGCAAAATGATAATTAGCTGTGGTCGTTATTTTAATCTTTTCATCTATCTCTCTCTCTCTCTCTCTCTCTCTCTCTCTCTCTCTCTCTCTCTATATATATATATATATATATATATATATATATATATATATATATATATATATATATATATATATATATATATGTATAGAGAAGTCCGTAATATCTGGAAGATGTCACCCTGTATCACTGCACTGGGAAACAGTACCGTGATCGTAGGTGATCTAAACGCGAAGTCCACCATTTGGGGCTCAAGAAACAGAAACAGTCACGGCGCTGTTCTGGAAAGACTAATGGATGAACCTGGATATACCATGATAGGTCCGGACGAACCTACAATATACCCCAGCAACGGAGGTAGACCAGACGTCATAGATATGGCGATTCTGAAGGAAATCGACATGCGCACCACCATCGGCGCCATGCAAGAGGGAAGCTCAGGACCACAACCCCATCTTTCTCTGTACGGGAGATGGGATAACACCTGTGGAACAAAGAACAGTGAAGAGAGTGAATTGGCAGCGGTTTAGAACCAGACTGCACTATTCACAAGGACCACTACTACAGATCGAAAGCCCCGAAAGCATAGAAGAAGCGGTCCACGACCTAGAAAGGAAGATTAAGGCTGCGTTAGAAGCCGCAACCACCGTGGAAGGACATAACGCAACCAAACAGGTTCAGGGACCTACCTGACGAGGTAAATCGCAAGAATCACCGAAAGAAACAGAGCCCGAAGAGTAGCCCAGGAGACCAGAAGCCCCACTGACATCATGGTGGCAAACAGACTTATGAGACAGGCACGAGACGCCTTGAAGCAGCACCATCAGAGCACCTGGGATAAGAAACTCGACGAACTATCTCCAGCTGACCCAGGAATGTGGAACTTGGCTAAAATCCTCAGAAATAGAAGACAGCCCATCCCCCCAATACACAGCGAACAGGGGATGGGTACACAAACCGAAGAGAAGGCGGAAGCTTTTGCTGACAACCTTCAGAGACAGTGTACTCTCAATACTCACCCCGATGAAGACGAAGACTTCATCGACGAGGTGATGAGAAGATCGAGGAGAGCTGTCAGAGGAGGAAGAGCCATCGAAGACATGCCCTCTCCAGGCGAGGTAAGGGAAATCATCGAAAGACTCAAGGTGAAGAAGGCACCGGGTGTAGACGATATTGGGAACAGAGTCCTGAAGAGACTCCCGAGGAAAGCGATAATGGCAATTACCAACATCGTCAACGCCATACTGAGACACCGGTACTTTCCAGATCACTGGAAAGTAGCCGAGGTGATCAACATTCCTAAACCTGGGAAAGACCCAAGGTTCCCCCAAAACTACAGAACCATAAGCCTGTTGACGGCACTGAGCAAGATTGCGGAAAGGGTAATCGAACGAAGACTGAAGAACGAAACCGAAGAACTCCGAGTAGTTCCAGACGAACAGTTCGGATTCCGATGCGGGCATTCAGCAGAGCACCAGGTCCTAAGGCTGGTCGAGATGGCAACGAAATCGTTCCAGACTCGGCGGCCGTGGGAGCTGTGTTCATGGATGCCGCAAAAGGCGTTCGACACTGTTTGGCATGACGGACTGATCTACAAGATGGTAGACCACGGATACTCAAAGGGGATGATCCAACTGGTGAAAGTCCTACTTGACAGCACCGAAATTTCCGAATTAGGATCGGTAAAACAACCTCGACGACGAGGACTGTGGAGGCAGGAGTACCGCAGGGAGCGGTTCTACCACCCCTGCTGTATCCAATCTACAGCTCAGACATCCCGAAGACTCCTCAAACGCAACTGTATGTGTATGCGGACGATACAGCATATGCGGCAGAAAGTACGAGACCCCGCATGGTTACGGAATATCTGCAACGAGCGACCACCAACCTAGAGGAATGGTGCATCAAGTGGAAGATCCGCCTCAACCCCGAGAAGACCGAAGCGGTACTGTCCGAAGAAATCGAAGATTACCTCAGACCAAAATAAAGATGACGACCACCAGAATGGAGAGAGGCTGGAGAAGAGATGAAGAGGTTGAGGTCGACTGGAAAGACTCCAGCACATACCTTGGAGTCAAGATGGACCAGAACTCACTTGGAAGAACCATGTCGAAGACCGGGTGCAGAAAGTGCAGATGGCACGCTCCAAACTAAGGACCCTTACGGGCAGAAGAAGCAAAGTGTCACTAAAGAAATAAGACCATCATGATCAGATGGTGCTGCTACAAATCATGACTTACGCAGCAGTAGCTGGGGCTACGTTCAAAAACGATGAAGAAGAGGCTCAAGCTCAACAAAACATGGCACTCCGTGAAGCGGTGGACGCACCGTGGTATGTACCTAACAGAGTGCTATATGACGACTACGACAGGTACCGGTCGTAATCCAGATGAGAGAGAGGGCCAGAAAGTTCTTTGAAAAGAAATGTGCTGATTGAAGCCGCCTTGGATTACGACCCAAGAACAATAAGGCGTCATAAAAGACCGAAAAGCCAGCTGCAACAAGAAGATATTTGGCCCTAGCAAGCTGATCAGGCCAAAGAAAAGGGAGAAGACCGACAATAGTTGTACACC